AGAGTGTGATGTGACCTGATCCTTCTAGGGCTCTGTGAAGGAACCACACACTGGAGAAGAGCAAAAGCAAAAAGTCACAAGATATATGCATGTAGAAAGCTAGAGACTGGTGGGTAGAAGGCAAGGGACAGGCAGAGAATAAGATAGGGATCCAGAAAGGCAATCAGGCCTGCAAAGCCTATGGTGTCTGTTTCCCTCACTGGATCCCTGGGGACAGACCCCAGCCTGAGGAAACTCTGTCTATATTAAGCAGAAGCCCTGTCCAAATTAAGTAAGGCCACATCATACTTGAGTTTTGACTCCCACTGGAACTATCACTGACTTCAATCACAGGCCAAGTCCCAGGTAACAATCCCTGCGTTCCCCAGGCAGGAGGAGGAAATCTGTGGTAGACTGCATCATTGCCACCAATTTTCTTCCCCTCCTCTGCCTGTATCCACATCCTTTGCCATGTGACCTTGCAGCCCCTCTTACTAGTGGTAGAGTGGACTTTCCCACCCCTTGACTTTGGACTTGGCTTGTGACATACCTTAAACAGTGGGATGTTAGCAAATGTGCCACAGAAGTTTGAAATATGCCTGTGTGTTTGACTCGTCTCTTCGTATTCTGCCGTCACCAAGAGAAGAACATGCTCCACTAGTATTCCAGTATGGTATGGATGGGAAACCGATGGGGCAAACCTAGACTCAAACTTCAGATTGGAACTAAGCCCAGCTGGGCTCAGCCATGGTTAGCCAAGTAAAGCTGATCTGCAGACATGTAAGCAAAAATAAAAGACTGAATTTCTTTTAACTTTTTACTTTGAACCACCTCTATTACATAAAAGTTGTGAAAATAGTACTGAGTTTCCATATATCGTTCACATGGCCTTTCCTAATGTTAGTATCTTACATAGCTATAGATAATTATCCAAACTGGGAAATTAATAATACCATTAATCAAACTAAAGGTCCTTTTCAAACCTTACCAGTGTTTCCACTAATGTCCTTTTTTGTTCCAGGATCCCATATGGCTTTTGGTTATTTCTCCCTAAAGTCCTGTGGTCTGCAACAGTTCCTCAGTCTTTCCTTATCTTTGATCCTGACGCCCTTGAGGAATACTCACCAGTTTATTCAGCACTGCTTGGTGTCTTCTCATGATTAAACTGAGGTCATACACTTTTGACACCACAAAAATAATGCAATGGTATTCTCAGTGCATTGTATCACAAGGTTTGTGATGTCAATATGTCTTCTTACTGGTGATACTGGCCTTGATCTAAGAAAAGTAATCTCTACCGAGCTTTTCCAATGTAGTAAACAAAAATAATAGCAAATTACCAAACTATGGATAACAATTCAGTAGTTTCTCAAAAAATTAAACAGAGATTTACTGTATGAACCCAGCAATTCCACAGTTAAATGTGTACCCCCCAAAATTAAAAACATATGTTCACATAAAAACTTGTATATAATGTTCATGCAGCATTATTTATAATAGCCAAAATGTGGAAACAACCCAAATGTCCATCAACTGATGAATGAATAAACAAAATATGGTATAGCCATACAATGGAATACTATTCAGCCATTAAAAGGAATAAAATATTGATATATACTACAACATGGATAAACTCTGAATACATTATGCTAAGTGAGAGAAGACATATACAAAAACCCACGTATCATATGATTCCTTTTAAATGAAATGTTCACAATAGACAAACCAAGAGACACAGTAGATTAGTGGGGGTCAGAGGCTAGGGGAAGGGAGGAATGGGGAAAGACCATTAATGAGTATGTGGTTTACTTTGGAAGTAATGACAATGTTCTCGAAATAGATAGTGGTGATGGTTGCACAATACTGTGCATCTACTAAAAACCAAAGAATTGTTAAAAAAAAAAAAAAATCATGGAGGAAAAACTTTGCAATTATACAAATCTCTTTTCTCTTCAAACCACACAAACAAGGGAATCCTTCTGCAACCATTACCACTGTAGTGATGATCTAATGCCATTTTCTACTTCCCTCCTTCCTTACACATTAATTGAAATTTCATTGCAAGGAAAAACTGTCACTCCTCCATCTATTTAATTACTTATACCAGTATGAACTCATGGATATTTTATTCCTTGAGTTATACTCCAATACTATCATTATTTATTTTGTTGCTCAAATTTTTTTAGCTTTGGCAATTAGGAGCTCCTTTAGGCTGGCTCTTGTGTTCCTTTAACAAGTCTCTTCCCTGCATCATTTTCCTTTTTCAAGTATTTCCTTATTTTCTGGTTCCATAAGATGTTCCTAGTTCATCTTGTATTTTCCTTCCCCCAACCCTGGAATCAACTACTTCCCAAAGAACCTTGGTTTCTTTTATTGAAGAACAGTGTTTAGAAACCAAGATCTGAGTGCTAAGTGTGCCCATTACTACTAGGGTATTACTTACTCTTCTAGACCCTTTCAATGGACAGAGCTAAGAAATTTGTGTGTGTGTCTGTGTATATATATATACACACATACATACTTCCGTATCTATGTGTCTGTATATATATTTAAAAACTATAAGTTTACACTCATATCTCAGATTCCAGTCTAACACCATAGAGTTCATTTGTCTCCCCACTTTCCTTGTTTGTAACTTTTTTCCCCAACAGTGAGAAACCTCTTATTATTTGCAATATATTTACAATTCTAGTATACATAAAAGCTAGTTTCAAAGTTGCTAACTCATATCCATGAGAAACACATTTACCAAATTAGATCACAGCATTTATGTACAGTTCTATTGTCTTTTGTTTTACAGTATCTGTCTTTAGTTCTATAGTATCTAGTCAAGATATGATTTTACAAAGTCACTTAGGTTAGTTCTTTTCTTCCCTACTCCTTTCAGTATGCTTCCTATTAATAATACTTGATCCATTTGTTAGTGTCCGTATTCCATTTTGGGGTTCCTACTCTTCCCACATCTTGGTTGGTTTAACTGTTTATTTGAAGGGCATCTGAAGCGTATGTGGACTATCACTACAGTTCTAAGAATCAGAAATTACTGTTATTTTAAGCTGAGTTTTGAGATGGTTTGTTTATTGTGGCAATTCATTCTAACGGTCCTGAAACAAGGAAATTGAAAGTGTCCAATATAAAGAACA